AATATTGGACGTAAAAGAAAATTTTCTTTTACTGGTAAAAGTCTAAAATTAATATATATATATTTTGTTCAAGGCCTTTTTCTTTTCTCTCTTACTTTGTCATTTCACTAAATTGTAATTTCCCATCACCATTTGTATCAAATATATGTAACTATAAAAATGACAAAAAAAATAATGATGTAAAAAAAAGGACTTTACATACAATTGTATCAGTATATTCAATTAATTTTTCTTCAGTGATATTTTTTCCTTGACGTTTAGTTAATAATACTTTGATAAATTGTTTTAATTCATCTGCTTCAATATAACCGGAACAATCCGCATCGAATTGTTTCCATACTTTCATAAACTCAACACTTGAATCGAGTGGATTGTCTTTACGAAAAAGGAGGAGAAAATTTTGATCCGTAGGTAAAATTTCTGCTAACTAAATATGAAAAAAAATACTAAATTTGTATCTTCAAATAAAAAATCTATTCAAAAACTAACTTCTCCAATTTCGATTTTACCATCTTCATTTTCGTCGTATGCTTCAAGAAAACTTTCTTTTAATTCTTTTAATACACTATCAGGTATTAACTGAAAATAAGAAATGAATAGATTTTATTTTATTTCAAAATAAAACCAACTTACATCAGGACCAGCATCATTTGAATTAACTGATGATGCAAGTTCACGAAGTAAATTGTCTAATTCATGACCTTCGATAAAACCATTACCTAGTCGAAATCAATATAAAAACAATTTTCTTCTTAATATATATATAATCATACCATCAGTGTCATAATGACTCCAAATTTCCATAAATTGTGCAGCAGTTAATTGTTTAATTTCTTTACTATCTTCATCACGAAATTGTCGTAAGAAATTTTCTTTCTTTTGTTGACGTTCGCTAACGGTTGTTGCCATCTAAAATGAAAATCATATAAGTTTTATTCACTATAATAAGATATAAACATATATACGATGTAAACGGAACTAATGTAAAATGCTCACAATACTTAAATGAAAATCATTCATCCTATTTTTCCTGTTTTCTCTCTCTCTCCCTCTGTCTCGTTAACATCAATCCATGTGAAGTAGAATGTCATCATTCATTCTATTCGTTATGTATTTTATTTGATTCTCAATGCTACTGTTGTTAGAATGTTGGCGTTCTTCAATAGAATAAACGCACTTAAAAAAATGTGATGTCTACATCCAGTAAGGAGGCTAACAAATGCCTCGATATTATGTGAACAGCTGACGCATACTACTTTTATTCTTGTATAGAACTGAATATATTTGACATACGAACAAATAATGACACTAAACTTATATTCATCGATAGAGAAAAAAAAGAACATTATTTATTCATTGTAGCAATAGAAAAACTTGTCAACGAATCATTTCTTTTTTTTCCCCTCTAGTAATCATATTAGACAAAATAGTAATTTTATCATACTACCGTATTTATTCTAGTACGAAAAAATCGATTTAATTAGTAATAATTGTAATCTCATAATGAAGTTGTCAACAATAGAAATAAATTTGTTTAATTTATATATATTTTGTTATTTATTTCGAAGTATATATGAAACAATGAAAATAGAAACAAGTTTAAACAAAATAATGATAGATTGAATTTTTCCGATTTATGATTTATGTTTTTTCTTTCTATTGTATACAAGCATTTTTTCCTTTACTACTTCCTCGATTATAAAGCTAAAGAACAAACAATATATGTGTTATAAATATTTGAGTTGATCGGTATATTTATAGTTCTAACTTCATCCAAATAATAATAATTGTCACAATTCAAGTATGTCGATATAATCATTATAGTAAAAAAAATATCTGCGGTTTTCTTCTCGAATGGAACGATAGACAACAAACCACCTGTTTTGGAAAAAAAATCATCTATTAATAATGCGACATTTGATGTTGAATATATAATCAAAGTAAAAACATCAATATTGTTGTGTCAGATTAGTAATTGGTATGTGAGTTTCAATAGAAGAATTTTAGTGTTGATCAAACCTCAATAATAGATACTATAGGACCTTTAGAAAAATAATTAGTTACGATAAGAATTGTCATTCTGAGATTTTCTGTTGAGCAGCAATCTTTTCCTAATAATAATTGAAATCGAGAAATTCGTAGTATTTGTTATTGATAACGTACATATTTTGGCTGAAATTCGATTAATTTCAATTGTATTTACTGTTTTTTTCCCAATCGTGAGATAAACAAACTGACTAATGTGATTCAAGTACTCAATTAATAAACTTGAATCAAAGTGACTCGTTGATAAGAACGGCCGTTTCGCTTGTTATATAGCAGATGTATTATTGAAAAAAATGTCATGTACTTATCATAATAGTTTTTTATATTTACATAGTCATCAAGCGTAAAAGCGAAAGCAAACTAGATTAGTCATCATTAATTCGAGATCATATCATATAGATATTTTATTAGAATATAAAAAGCAGAGATCGTCTAAGTTCGTATTTTTTAGAAAAATAAATTGGATGGAATATATTAAATAGTACTGTTACTAATATAAATCGTTTTATTTTATATTTCCTACAAGATGCATAACAGCCGACATAGAAAAAAACAAAAGAACAAACAAACAAACAAAAACAGATATAACAAAACTGTTCTAATACATTAATTAGCTCGTTTAAAAGCCCATTCCGCCCATACCACCCATTCCTCCGCCCACTAAAATAAAGATAATGATTAATATAAGTTTGCAAAATATTTCTAAACTACATACTTCCACCCATACCAGCTGCTGCACCAGCATCTTTTTCGGATTTAGGTGATTCAACAACAACACATTCGGCTGTTGTTAATAATGATGCAACACCACTAGCATCTTGTAAAGCTGTTCGAACAACCTAAATAAATATAACGGATAAAAATAGTAAATAAATCTTTATAGGTTCATACTTTAGTTGGATCAATGATACCAGTTCTAACCATATCAACAAATTCATCACGTTGTGCATCATAACCAATTTCAAATGGTGACATAAGTATTTTTTCTACAATAACACTACCATCTTTACCAGCATTTTTAGCTATAGTTGAACATGGCATACGAAGTGCTTTTCGAACAATATCAATACCTAGAAGAAAACAAGATCAATTAAATAAACATCAAATATAATAAGGATTTCTTTTACCAATTTTTTGATCTTCATTAATTGCACCAGCATTTTTTTCCAAGACTTTAAGACATCTTAAAAGAGCAACACCACCGCCCGGTACAATACCTTCTTCAACAGCAGCACGTGTGGCATTTAATGCATCAGTAATACGATCTTTCTTTTCATTAACTTCAACTTCGCTACCACCACCAACTTTCAATACAGCAATACCATTTGATAATTTAGCTAAACGTTCTTGTAATTTTTCTTTTTCATATTCAGAATTTGTCTCCGATATTTCATCTTTAAGTGCATTTACACGTTGTTCAATAGCAGATGATTCACCTTTACCACGCATTAATAATGTATCATCTTTTGTTACACTAACTTCACCAACACGACCAAAATCTTGAAGAACAATTTGATCGAGTTTATTTAAACCGGCGTCATCACCAAATACAGTACCACCACAAGCAATACTTATATCACGTAATGTATTCTTACGATTATCACCAAAACCTGGCGCTTTTATAGCACAAACTTGAAGACCAACTTTAAGTCTAAAAGAGCAAAAATTCAATGGTTGCAATTTAAATATATAAATGTATGTACTTTTCAATACCTGTTTATAACAAGTGTTGTAAGTGCTTCACCATCGATATCTTCAGCAATAATAAGTAATGGTTTACGTTGACTATTAGCTAATTCTAATGCTGGAATAAGTTCTTGAACGGATGAGATTTTTTTTTCGCTTATTAAAAGAAAAGCATCTTGATATTCACATTTAGCACCTTTAGCTGTATTGATAAAATAAGGTGAAATATAACCACGATCAAATCTCATGCCTTCAATTATTTCAAGTTCATCCATAAGTGTTTTACCATCCTTAAAAAATTTAGGATACACATATATATTTCAAACTATTATTGTTTAATCTTACTTTAACAGTTATAACACCATCTTTACCAACTTTTTTCATTGCATTCGATATAATATCACCAATAGATACATCACCATTAGCTGATATTGTTGCAACTTGTGCAATTTCTTCAGGTGTTGTTACTGTTTTCGACATTCGTTTAAGTTCATTAACAACTGTTGAGACAGCAAGCATAATACCGCGACGTACTTCAATTGGATTAGCACCACGTGAAATTTTATCGAAACCTTCTTTAGCAATAGCACGAGCAAGAATAGTTGCAGCTGTTGTACCATCACCTAAATAAAAAAACACAAAAACATTAATAATAATTTCAATGAAATCTTTTTCATACCAGCTTCTTCATTAGTATTATTAGCAACATCTTGAACAAGTTTAGCACCAATATTTTGAAATTTATCTTTAAGTTCAATTCCTTTTGCTACTGTTACACCATCTTTTGTAATTTTTGGAGCACCCCAACTTTGTTCAAGAATAACATTTCGTCCCTAATTAAAACAAAAAGAACTTTTATTTTATAATAAATTAAAAATAAATGAAATATTCAACATACTTTAGGGCCCATGGTAACAGCAACAGCATCAGCAAGGATGTCTACACCTTGTAACATAAGTACTCGTGCATCGGCACCAAATTTAATATCTTTAGCTAATGAACGTCGAACAACATGTTGAATAAGTGGTGATGTTGTTCGTGAGATTGTATTGGCAATACGATACATGTTCGATGATGGTAATGTACTAAAAATGACTAGTAAAATAAGAAAAAGAAAAGTGAAAACCTGGATGTTTTGCTTCCTCCGTTAGATTGTCGATTGACCTCCTCTATATGAATGGACCATAAACATTCTCCAATCAGAAGAAACAGAATTAGGTAGAAGAAAAAAACCACAAAATCAATTGTAACAAATATTCTCGATTATTCTAGTACATCATAGAAATAACTAACTGTTTAGATGGTAAGTAAAAACAATGATTTCATTAAGAGAAAACAATCTTTTGCATATTTTTGTTTTGTTCAGGCATCGAAAGCATTAAAACGTATTATTCCATTATTTGATCGTGTACTTGTTGAACGTTTTGCCGCCGAAACTACAACAAAAGGTGGATTACATCTCCCTGAAAAATCGTTAGGAAAAGTACTTAATGCAACTGTCATCGCTGTTGGTAAAGGTCTTAAATATAAGGTAATATTTAATTCATTTTGTTTCTGTTTTTCTTATCATTATTGTTGTAGGATGGTGAACATGTACCAGTAAGTGTTCAAGCCGGTGATAAAGTTCTATTACCAGAATATGGTGGTACTAAAGTTGAAATAGATGATAAAGAATATTTCATCTTTAAAGAAGCCGATATTCTTGCTAAATGGGAATAATCATGTTATTTGATTTGTGTGTCTAGGAAAACGAATTGTTATCGTTTTTTGTTCTTTCGTTTAGTGTCTTTCGTACTTATTAGGTGAAACACACACATACAGTGCTTTTTTTCTATTCTATTAATAAAACAACCGAAAAAACAAACAAACAAATACATAGATTATATTTTTTATAATGTGTACTCTGCTTACTACAATATATCTCAAGAAACTGAATATTATTCGGCTATGAAAGTAAAACTAGGGAACTTACTGTTACACATTTTCAATAAAATAAATTTCTGCAATTTTTATTTTAAGAAGAGCAACTAGTTAAAGGATATTTCGAAGACAATAGCTAGTATATACAGTATATACTTTCATTCTATTTCCATTAACTAGAGAGTATATCTTTCAGAGATCGAAAACGAATCGAATAGGAATTTCCGAAAACTGGGTCGAATCGAATCGGATCGAACCGAATGAAGATGTCAGTATTCGCTGCAATCATCATATAATATAAATAGTAAAAAATATAGTCTGACGAAAAACAGACACATGCTCGGTCACTATTTAATGAAGACAAAATTTATGTACGTAGATAAAATATTAAAAAATGAATATTTTTCGTACAGATAGATAGACAGAAATATTTTGAAAAACAACATTAACACATAACAGCCGAATGTATAAATTTCTTTCATATCTTTCTGATACGTATAGCTTTATGTAGAGTAAATGATGTGTCAATGTACTAATCCGACTATCCGAGATCTCCGAAATCCGCCAGTATTGTTATGTAAATACATATGTATAAAAATAGCTTCCCGTAATTATATTGAGAGATTTAGATTATAATATACTTATTCTAATAATATTAGGTTAATTTGTCACATGCGTTTTACACTGATCTTGTGTTATTACAGTTGGCCAGAAACCACTAGACTTACGTAGAACTTTCGCCTATTGGTGAAGAGACAGCAAGCCGACTATCCGTTATAATAAAACTCTTAAATTTCTGCTCATTGATCTATGTATATTTTCTTTTTTTTCAAAATTTTTCTATTTACAAACAAAAAACAAAGAGAATCTATTTTTCATGGTTATTTATGGCAAGTAACCAAGTGTATGTTCAAGTGTTGATTGTTGACGTTGTTCTTCACCATAGAGATAAGCACCTTGATCTGTATGACGTAAATATTGTCGATAATCAATTGGTAATTCTGTATTAGCATGGTGAAATGACGGAAATCGTTTTGGTTTTGATGAAGATAAACCAACATTCGATTTCGAAGGATGTTGATGTAAATGAGAAATTTGTGTTAATAAATGTACTTTATTATCATTCATAACATCTCCTATTGATTTAAGTACATGAGGAACTTGATGATCATCATCAACGATATGATTTACATTTATATCTAAGATTTGATTTGATATATTTAAATCATTTGGATAAATATTTGTAAAAGATTTTCTATAGAATAAAAATAAATTAATTTTTGGGAAAAGTTTATTTTAATTTTTTTCTTACGTTTGATTTTTTCGTAATTGTTGAACAAGTGAATAAATATTTTGATCTTGATTTAAACATGGTGTTGATTGATAATAATTATTAGTTTGATTAGATAAACAATCTAATTTAAGAAAACCATTTATTAATTGTCCATTACTTGAACGAAAAAATATATTTTCATTACTATCCGATGAACGCATTGTTGAATCTTCACGTAAAAATTTTGGTACATAATTACCAATATCACCATAACGATTCAATACAATTTGTGGTCGAAATAATTGACCATCAATCATTGAAGGAATTTTTTGTTGTTGTTGTTGTTGTGGCAAAATATTATTTGTTATTGGTATAGGATTTAATAAACGTTTTTTATTATGAAAATAACGTTTCTTATTCATTGTATTATTATCATTTGATGATGATGATGATGATGTTTGATCAAATGATGCATGACGTTTAATAGATGTTTGATTTTTTAATTGTTCATTAGCAACAATATTCATTAAATCATTAACAATTTCATCAGATTCATCTTGTATTAATGATGATGCTTTAATAAAATGACGTTGTTTTGATGATGAACATGGTGACGACATCCGATGAATGTCACTATTCATAGTTAATACTTTAGATGTGTCATGAAACGGACAAGAATGTTGAACATCATTTATTAGTAACGAAGACGACGATAAAGGATTATGAAGAGTATTTGTTGTCGATCGAACAACATCAATTAAATCATTATTCTAAAAGAAAAAGACATTATTCATACAAACATGAATCAAATTAAATTTTACTTGTCTATCTGATTCTTTTCGTGATATTATTGGACTCATTGTTCGTTTAATAACTAATTTACGTATCATATCACATAATTCAAATGCTGTTGATTCACGATGTACAGCAAATACATGACAATCAAGAAGAGAACATGAACCAGTTACACCTGCTTTACGTGTAACAAATAATAGAAGTGGTGAATGGTATGATATACGTGTTGAAAGTAAATTATATTGTGATTTATTAACTGATGAATATAAAGATCGAAAACGTTCTTGATATTCACAACCTATAAATCAATGATATTTATATAAAGCTTTATCGAACAAAAAAATTATTCGTTTAAATAAATGATGTAACAAATCATAATTGATCAATATATACATATGTAAATATTTAAGTAATTTGTAAACGGTAACTTTCTTTTTTTTTATAATAAATATCGGTCTAGCTAAGTGTACTTCTGATTTGGAGTTTACGGATGTCTAAGTTGTCGCGAAAAACTCTACCCGAAAACTGTAATCATGCTCTAATAGATACTCTGAACTGTGCTGAGTCGACTGATGATGCTCAAGAAAAAAAAAGGCACACAGTTATAAGCTGCAGTTTGTCGAAAAAATTCAAATTTGGAGCTTAATTAACTAGACCGTAAATATCTTACCAATTGGTAAAAAAGCAACTTGCGTATGTTGTTGTTGTTGGGTTTTATTCTTGTTCGTCATAGATAATTTTAATAATTGTATATTAACAATTGATTCAAATTTTATATAGGTTAATGAACGTTTACTTTTTGTTCCGCGTTCAGATTCTAATATTAATATATCAGAATCAGATATAATAACACGACGTTGATCATGAGATTGTTCACGATAATATGAAATATATAATTCACGTAATGGTTTTTGAAATGATGTTAAATTTAAAGGTGATTTTCCGAAATAGATTACACCTAAATAAGGTAATTCAAATGAATAAGTACTTGACGATGGCATGTCGTTATCGAGACTCGATAAACTATGATTTTGTATTATACGATGTGATAATGATGACATTGGTAAACGCATTTGTCACGAGAGTATGATAAAAAGTATATGTATAAAATATTTAAACCTTGCATTTATATGTGAAGGAGACGGATGTTGAATTGAACAAGAGAGAAAGAGAAGGATAGTCTATACATGTTGTATATTTTTATTGAACGAAGAGAAAAGAAAAAATCCGATTAAATGTAAACGTGACTTTCACACCAGACAGAGGATTATAGTTGAGTTATTTTAACAATAAATATAACAAAAAAAAAGCAAGAAATTCAAGTTTATGTACAATCTAAGATAATAATCAATAGAATTAGTTAATACGTGTGAATATTTATCGATTAAAGATTGAAAATTTGATCTCATTCATTTAAATGACTAAATTCTGATCATGTCGATATTTAATACATTTCATTGACAGTCCATTAATAAAATGTATTCTTATCAGGACTGTCGCGAACCGAGAAGAAGAGAGATCAATCTTGACATTTTTTTTTCTTATTGTAAAGTCTTATTTATTTATTTAAATATTTTTAATCAACAATCAAAAATTTGAATATAGTTTGTTTAATTATGATGGAGATACTTGATTATTTTTAATTTTATTTTTTCTTAAACGATATTCAGTTGCACCATAACCAGTCATACCTAATGTTAAAAATATTAATAAAATAACTAAAGCTATTCGAATACGAATATATGGTGTTATGATATAAAATAAAACAAAACCACTTGATTCCCAAAGACGATAATTTGAAAATGCGGCTTCATCTTTATCAACAAATAAAACACCATAAAATGCATTTATTTGTGTTTGCCATACAGCATCAGCTAAACCCCATAGACCAGCTAATATAAATAAAACATATATTTGATTTTCTGATGGTTTCCATAGAAACATAGTTATAATTAATGAATAATTTATTATAGCAGCAATAATAAAACATGGCCAACGACCAACATATTTTACTAATTGACCGAAACTAAAACTACCGATTGAATCACATATACCATATGCAATTAAAACTAAACCAACATATTTTGCACTAAGTGTACAAGAAACAAAACCCTAAGAAGAAAAAAACAAAAATATTTTTTTTGTACATAAAATATTGTCATTTACTTTTGTAAATTGTGCTCCAAGAAATGATTGTTCTAAACCTGACCATATAGTTAATGGGATAAGACATAATTGATTTATATTACGCATATGTTTCACTGTTGAAACAAGTAATTTAACAGAATGACGAAGCATAACGGATATTTTATCTAAATTATAGAAATAAATTACTTTTGTAATGTTATTTTTTTTTCGATTACCTTTTGATGCTTTTCGACGTTGATCAAGAAAAATAATTACTGTTAAAATTGAACAAGCACATATACAAATATATACAATACAAAGAACATTAATCTAATGAAAAAATAAAGATAAAGCAATTTTTTCGATGTTTATTATTTTATTTACTGTTTTTCGATCAATTGCATTACTAACGTCGACACCTTTATATTCTTGTTCACTAAATTCTGCTCCACATTTATCATATTTTTCTGTGATATTTGTTCCATTAACTTCGGATGGTTTAAGAACAAAATATGATATTAAATTACCCCAAATTTGACCTATATTAAATCATTTTCTTTAATATTCAGTAATGAATTACAAACAAACCTGATTGAAAAAACATAAAAAATATACCAAAAAATCTATTAACAACAACATCTTTATGAACAAGTTTGCTATTAGCGTACATTGTTCCAGAATCAGTTAAATAACTACATTTCGATGTCCATAATGGTGCAGCACCTAACCCAACAAGTGCAGCAGCTAAAACCAAACAAAAAGATCGATTGATAATAATAAAATAAACAGATTTTTTTCTTACCCGGATACATTAAATATGCTTTTGGATAGTAATTCGCTGCTACATATAAAAGATACCTTAAAAAAAGATACAATGTCCGATATAAAATAAAAATATTTTCAGGTCATAACCATTCATAAATGACATATTATATTTTGTCAAACATGAACTAAAACGAGTGTTGAAGTGTATGACTAACTAACTAATTAGCTAATGCAGGTTAATTAGTTTCTAATAATGTGTATCACAGATTTGACTATTTCGTGTTTCACATTTTAATCCCACAGAGATTGCGCCTACGACTTCTTAATACTTGACTAACGATTTATATCTTTCGAAAATCGACTTACGGAACTTGAGATATTACAAGAGTCCATTTGATACCAAATATAGCCATTAATGGATGTGGTAAAAATATTGATGAAAAAATAAGAAATGCATATATAATTGATAAAGAATTAACACCAACATTAGCTTCTGTATTTAATGAACTTTGTAAATTTCCAATCGCACCAAATGCAGTAAATTGAAGAAGAAAAGCTATACAAAGAACTAATAAATTTTTATATGTTTTAAATCGTTGTGTGTCTGATGGTATATTAGCAGGATTTGTATCAGCTACTGTACGGTCAATGTGTGATTTTAATTCAATATCAGATATAACCGACGACATAATACTTTCTTGTTAAACTAATGATTGGTAATAATCTTTTTTAGAAAGATAAAAATCAAGACAATAAATATTAAATACGATTA